CGTGCTCATTTCTGGGAAATAAGTTATTTGTCAAAGACATGCCACGAATTAAAAACACTACATATGCATATAAACATTTATGTTGGGAGAAGTTGGGGGTGGATGGTGACTAGCTAGGGGAATATACAGTCCATTCATGAAAAGGGTTTGGTCTACCTTAGAGCTGTTCTCTTAAAAGGATTACCTAATCGAACCAAAAAGAATAAATTCAGTGTATGGTGGACATTTTGCATCAATTTACGGTTATTTATTATTATTATTTTTTGATGATGGGAGAACCTGCAGCCGTTACCCTTCGGGTGCGCATTGAGTAAACCCTCGGGCTGATGCAATAGTCTGCAAATCACGCCAGCCAGGTAAACCGCATTAGGCAAACTCGATGCGACAGGTTCGATCGAGAAAATGTTGATGGGGGAATCGAACTCATGATCAAAGACCTTCGCGCTCACCTACTCCACCAACTCGACCACCCCAGGATGGGTCAATTTACAATTATTTAATTATACTAATTGTTATCAAACCTTTATACCATTCAACTTGCCTCTCATATTCGTTTAGCATTTGGTACTTGTCCTTCAAGCGTTCGTCTTACAATTCTTTCAACCACAGTTCAGCAAAAGGATTTTATAATATACTTAATTGCTGGGTTAAAAAATTAAATAATAAATAATAATTTTGGTCGTAGAATTTATTCATCCAAAATTAATTACATAATTTACTGTTTTTATCCCTCGAGATAATTCTTCCAATTTCATCTCTCTAAAGTAGCCCCATTACTTTTTGAAATTGATATATCTTTGTGGTTCGTATTCGTTTCTACCTAAAAATGGTAACATATTTAGGGGGTGTTTGATAATCATTTTTATGTAAAAATGCATTTTACAATAGTAACTTGATGGAACGTGTGGTTGGAAAATAAGAAATTTTTTTTATTTACGTGTAATATTATTTTAATAAAGAATGTGTGATTGAAAAGAAGAGAGAGAAAAATGTATTTTAAAAAAAATAGGTGCTAAAAGGGGGCTAAATTATTTTATTGGGAGAATTTTTATTAGAAAATGAGTATGAAAAAAATGAGTTTCTAAATTATTTGTCTCAAACATATATTTAAGAGAAGGATTAACAAATGTTCCTGCTGTTAAATGCCAATCTTTCACATGGGACAGAGTGGGGGAGGATCCGTTAAACTAAATTTTCATGGGACCTCACTTCCGACGGGACGAGGATTCCCGCCTAACTTGGTACATGCGATGGAGTGGGAGGAGGATCTTGCCCCGAAGGTAGGGGCAGGGCGAGTATAGTAAATATGGCCATCTCCTTGTTCCCGACTCGTTTAAAATTCATTACAAGATATAAGTTTTTTTATCGTACAAAAACAAAAGAATCACCATATTTTCTAAAGTGAACATTATTTGTTTTACAAATTGAGAAAAGTTATAATTTTCACCAACTAAAGATAGAATAAAAAAAATAAAACTAAAAAATTAAAAATTAAAAAAAATATAAATGGAGAAGGGGACTTGCCTTTCCTCACCTGCCCCCATCTCGTCTTAGTCAGTTATGGGGCGGGACAAGGAGATAAAATACTTTTATAGAGTGTAAAAGAGATTGTCTGCTTTGACCCTGATCTGATCTGTTGCCATCCTTATTTTCCATAACCAAATGTATATTGTGTGTCTGCTTTCATTGTTAAAATTAAATTGAAAGAGCTTAATGATTTCAAAGTAATAGCCACTTAATATATTGAACGTTATGATTCATATTGATGAAATATGAAATAAATATTTTGGGCCATTGCATCAACTTCTTTCTCCTATAAGAGGGCTTTGGGGTTCACTATTGATTTATGTCACACAGAGTTTTCACAACCTGTTCATCAAACTGGTTCTTCTACAGTGCTCTCGACCGCCAAAGAAATCTACACTACACCCACCACTTCTCAAAACTCTCAGATCCCTGCGAAACCATAAGAAGAAGAAACTCCCCTGCTAACGGAAGCGGTGTTGGAGGCGTGATCTTTGGCACTCAGACGCTGAATCTTCTCCATCTCATATTAATCGGCCCAGTAATCGAAAACTCTATCAAAACTTCATAACTTCCTATAGGGCAAACTCGCTCTTTCTCACTCGGCCATGTGGAGAAATTCGCTGAGTTTTTCATCCAAACTCGCCCATTCCAATTCGAATTATTAACTCCACTTCTTGTTCCCCACTTCCTCAAAACCTTCTTATCGTGGCCTTCCTAGCCGATCTAATTCCACAAGCCTACATTCCACATTGACAGCCGATCCGGTAGGTGGTCCGATTTGGGTCTTGGGAGCATAAAATTTGGGCTCATGTCGACTCAACCAGGGCCGCTGACTTATAGTTGTTAGTGGCTTCATCGATGTGGAAGGCTAAGGATGTGGCGTAATTGGCCAAGCATTGCGACTTCTGTTATTGGGAGCTCTCAAAAGCTCATCTGAGGTGTGTTTAAACTGGTTTACACCTTTTTTTTTTTTTCAACAAATAAATTTGTTTTTCCCCCCCTTTTTTTTTTTTTTTTTTTTTTTTTTTTTTTTTTTTTTAACAAATTTCAATTTTGAGATGGAATTTCGTGAACTCAAGCATAATGCTTGAAACGTATTTATGTCTGTTTGCAATAGCTTTTGTCACTTAAAATAGATCAAAGCCACTTTTATTTGACATAACTGGATGAAGAATTTACAACTTCTGCATTTGGAGTAGAGGCCCTAGAGGGTAAGGGAGAGAAAGGTAGTAGTTGACAATCTGCACATGTTACCTACAATGCATAGTTTTGTCCATTTTCCTCCACTCTACTATAATTAATTATGAACTTTTTGTGCTTCCAGTCCTCAACTCTGCTGCTGCCGCCGGCGAGGTCGCCTTGAGCAGGCAAGTAATTTTGATTTGCATACACATGGAAGAATGTATTCTTCATTTGTTTATTTTTCATTTTTTTGTAATGAAAGTGTTAAAAGTGCTGAATTTTTTTATATGTTATCTTGTTAAGTTGAATTTTCTTCAATTAACATTGTGATGTTAAATTTCTTATGTAATATGCCAGAAGTCATATCCTTATTGGAACAGGTAATAATGGCCGGAGAGTAGAGCTTTCTCGAAATTCTAGGGGTGAAAATGGTGGTGGTGGCTATGGTGGAGGGCATGGTCATTCTGGTTCTGACTCAAAATGCTATGAGTGTGGTGAGCATGACCATTTTGCCCGTGAGTGCAGGAACTGTTGAGGTTCTGAAAGGCATAAGGGTCATACTCTCCCTAGATATTGCTGAAGCCCAAGCTATAGTAGAAGGTAATATATATTAGGTTGCTAGGTTTTTGGTTTTTGGCAAAGAATAAAGAACAATCTCAACCGTTATTTTTAACTCAGTGTTTGAATAACGCTGTTAATTGAATCAAGAGTCGCAATCCTCGCGATCTTCTCCTCGATGTCGAAGTTTGTCACCTAAGGTCTCGTCTACAGCAGGTCTCTTTACCATGAAAGAGATGAAGCACAATATGCCAAATGGGTGAGTCTTTATTTTCTTATTTCCATGCTTTTTATTTATCTGACTACAACCCATTAATAACTCAGATACGACATTTATCAGAATGGGTTTCTATTTTTAGTTATCAAATTGGGTTCATGTTTCTCTGGTAGTTATTAGTAGATGAATCTGCGCTTGAATATTCTTGTAAATATTATTGACGATGGTTGGGATGGAAATGGATGACTGTGGTTGATCATGCTATAAGAATTAGTAGGTTTAATGTGCTAGAAACTTTGATGTAATTATGTATTTTAACTTTATATGCTTGCTTCATAGATGTTTGTTTACTCAACATCCTTGTACTGAAGTCATTATATAAGTTATCTTGATCCAACTTGGAAATCCATATCGTCCATGTGCATATATGGCACTTATGACTTACCGTTTCCTTCTTCTATTGATTATCTAATGAAGGCTCTTAATCTTTTTTTTCTTACCGTTTATCATTAGATCTTAGTGTGTAGCCTCTATTTTTAATTTTCATATTGTACAGTTTACTTAGTTGATTTCACTTTTTGTTCACTTGCAGAAATGGCAGCTGATCACTGATCACTGGAAAATGAAAATAATTTGAATCTATCTAGAAGCTTTTGAGATAGTGCTTATACTGTGCATGGACTTGGTTACGACTGTGTAAGGGGGTTGATGACCTCGGCTTCAACTCTTGCATTTTTTTGAGTTTCTTTACTACTAAGTAGGTTTGTCACTTTATCCTTTTATCCCTCCCTCTTCGCTTTAAGGTCTACCCATTAACTGCTTTTATAGTTCTTAAATGTATTTGGATCTTATAATTACTATTACACACTATTATTAATGGAACGCTGCTAAAAAATCTTTCTTTGCCACATTGGTTTCTGGATTTCATATGCAATCTTTTTGAAAAGTTAAGTGTCATATATTTGTTGTCTAAAATACAATACGAAACCCTAACACATCTACATTTGTCCATCAACCTTTGCTTAATCAACGTAGATATCACTCGTCAATCCTAATATTGAACACATTAACATTGGCTCAAAATATCCGAGCCTGTGATTACACGGACAAAAACTAGTATTTTGTACAAGTATTTGATTTTGGCGCATTTTTGTACCAACTCATAGTCAGCCTTGGTGATAGATTTGACATCTAGTCAGTATTATTATTAGTGCACGTCACGTTTCGGGTCCACTAGGCTGATTCGGGACGGGTCATATCACATGTTTTTAAACTTTGCTTTACGATAGAATTATGCAAGCATAAATTCTGAGATGATGGTCAGTTCACTTTGCTACACTAGGTCCCACAATATAAACTCTACCAAATTATAGGAGCGGAAAGTACTAATTTTAGAAAATTACTCACGATTTTTAAAAAATTGCATGTGAGCACATGAAAATCAAAGTTTTATAACACACACACACACATATATATATATATAGAGAGAGAGAGAGAGAGAGAGAGAGAGAGAGAATAATCTAATAAGCACTGAAATTCTAGTATTTAGACCAACTCTAACTAATTGATTTTGAATTTTTAATCTGCATGGCATGGATTGAAGTAACACGCGTAGTTCATTTATATCTCAATCATGCATTAACTTGATTTAATGTATTTGACATATCAAATGCACAATCAATAATTTTAATGAATGTATTTGAAACATAAAATGCAAAATATCATGCTAAGGTGATCCAATTAAGGAAAAATAGATAATCTCAAATGCACTTTTAATATATTGACCTTAATTTTCACACCAAACCTTAAAACATAGAGAAAATAAATGAAAGAACAAGAAATGACAGGGATAATGTTAATTATTTAACTAGATTTTTCATTTTCACTTTTCTTATCGTTCACATGATTAAAAATTTATAACCAATAAATTATTGTTTTTAATTAAGAAAGCACATGTTATAGAATATTATGACTTCGTACATGAAGAGTAAGTCATTCTAGAAATAATAAATCTCCGCCTATAAAATCACCGAATGTCACCATTACTTCCACACCTCCTCGATTTCCACCATTTTTTGGCTTTTTTTGTCTGTTTGATAGAGGCTTCCCTAGGGAATCACCCCGAACAAAACCCTTCGATTAAGGATTTAGAAAATTCAAACAAGCAACAGTGAGGAACACCATCGCCTCCACACTGCTACTCTGGTGGTTGGCGTCATGCATCAGCATCCTTCTCCTCACCACTCACTCTGCAGCACATGGAGATATCGTGAAAGACATCGCAAATGGTGTGAAATACAGTTATTCCAAATTTTACAACCTTACCGACCAATTAGTCCATGACATTAGAAAGCTAGGGTAAGAATCACTGGTTTGTGTCTGTTATCAATTTGTAATTCCTATTTCAAATTTAAGCGCGAGATTGTGACTTAATTGTTCACTAATGAAGCTTTCCAATTCGAATACAGAAAGATGTAATCAGTGCCAAAAAGCAAATTTTCATCCTCGGAGGCTAGAGCAACATGGCAAGCCACGACGCAATTACCGACGGAGTGGTTCCAGTGGATAACAGTCTCAACCTCTCTTAAGTCATTTCAATTAAATGTCCAACTCAAGTGGGAGGTGACACATGATCCCCTCCACAGAGACATCGACATCAATAAACCATGCGGGGTGGGAACTGGGATATCGTTTGCAAACTTAGTGAAGTCTCGATTAGGAGTCATCGGTCTTGTGCCATGTGCTAGAGGTGGCTCATCAATCAAAGAGTGGGAAATAGGTGATAAACATTATGAGAACATGATTAAGAGGGCTAAAGACATAGTGAAAGATGGTGGTGTTGGTGGTGATATAAAGACACTTCTGTGGTATCAAGGAGAGAATGATACATTCAATTTGAATGACATGGAAAACTATAAAAGACGTCTTGAAAAGCTTGTCCAAAATGTACGAACCGATCTTAATATGCATTTTCTTCCAATTCTTCAGGTTATTATTGAATCAATAAATGGTCCATTGAAAGATGAGGTTTTAAAACAACAAAAGGCGTTAAGCTGACTAATGTCGTAATGGTGGATTTAGACGGATTGGGGTTCAACGAAGATAATATTCATTTGAACACGGAGGTCCAGGTTCAACTAGATAAATTTTAACGTAGAGTTAAAAGGAGAAAAGTGAAAATACTTTGCGCAAAATTGTTTAAATATGATCACCCAACCATTTGGCCGGTTGAACCTGGGTCTCCGTGTTCAAGTGAATATTATCTTCGTTGAGCCCCAATCCGTTTGAATCCACCTTTACAACATTAGGCACTTTAAATGCCTTTTGTTATTTTATAACCTCATCTTTGGATGGACCATCTGCTGATTCAATAATAACTTGAAGAATCGGAAGAGAAGGCATATTAAGATCGGTTCGTACATTTTGGACAAGCTTTTCAAGACGTCCGTTATAGTTTTCCTTGTCGTTCAAATAAGACGTATCACTCTCTTCTTGATGCCATAGAAGTGCCTTTATTTTACCACCAACACCACCAACTTTCACTATGACTTTAACCCTCTTAATCATGTTCTCATAATGTTTATCACCTTTTTCCCACTCTTCGATTGATGAGCCACCTTTAGCACATGGCACAAGACTAATGACTCCCAATCGAGTCTTCACCGAGTTTGCGAATGACATCCCGGGTTTCACCCCGCATGGTCTATCGATGTTGTTGCCTTTGTGGAGGAGATCACGTGCCACCTCCCACTTGAGTTGGACATTTAGCCGAAAGACTTTGGAGGGGTCGGGAGTGTTATCCACTGGAATTACGTTGTCGATAATTGCGCCGCGACCTGCCACATTCCTCTGGACCTCGAGGATGAAGATTTGCTTTTTGGCACTGATTCCATGTTTCTGTATTCGAATTGGAAAGCTTCATTAGTGAACAATTAAGTCACAATCTCGTGCTTAAATTTGAAATAGGAATTACAAATTGATAACAGACACAAACCCGTGATTCTTGCCCTAGCTTTCTAATGTCAAGGGCTAACTGGTAGGTAAGGTTGTAGAATTTGGAGTAACCGTATTTCACACCATCTGTGATGTCTTTCATGATATCTTTGTGTTGCAGAATGGGTGGTGAGGAGGATGCTGATGTATGACGCCATCCACCAGAGTAGCACTGTGAAGGCGATGGTGTTCCTTATTGTTGCTTGTTTGGATTTTTTGAATCCTTAAACGAAGTGTTTTGTTCGGGGTGATTCCCTAGGAAAGTCTCCACCAAACAAATGAAAAAAGCCAAAGAATGGTGGAAATCGAGGTGGGGAGGTAATGGTGACATTTGGTGGATTTTATAAGCAGAGATTTATTATTCCTAGAATGACTTGCTCTTTGTGTATGAAGTCATAATATTCTATAGCATGTGCTTGCTTAATGAAAACCAATAATTTATTGGTTATAAATTTCTTAATCGTGTGTGAACGATAGGAAAAATGAAATTAAAAATCTAGTTAAATAATTAGCATTATCTCCGGTATTTTTTGTTCTTTCATTTATTTTATCTATGTTTTTAAGGTTTGGTGTGAAAATCAAGGTCAATAAATTAAAAGTACATTTGAGATGATCTATTTTTCCTTAATTATACCACCTTAGCATGATATTTTGCATTTTATGTTTCAAATATATTAATTAAATTATTAATTGTGCATTTGATATGTCAAATACATTAAATCAAGTTAATGCATGATTGAGGTATAAATAAACTATACGTGTTGCTTCAATCCATGCCATGCAGATTAAAAATCTAGAATCAGGTAATTAGACTCGGTCTAACTACTAGAATTTCATGTCATCATCGGTCCTTAACAAAAAATTAGCATCGTGTTTATTAGATTAATCCCCTCTCTGTGTGTGTGTGTGTGTTAAAACTTTAATTTCCATGTGCATTCTTTTAAAATCGTGAGTAATTTTCTAAAATTAGTACTTTCAGTTCCTATAATTTGGTAGAGTTTGTATTGTGGGGCCTACGTGTAACAAAGTGAATTGACCATCATCTCATAATTTATGCTTGCATAATTTTATTATAAAGCAAAGTTTAAAATCAACATGTATATTCACCAAATTAAATTTCAAGGCCAAATACTAAATTAGGATTGGGAAAAAATGTTCAAATCAGGAATTCACCTTCAAATTGTTCTAGATTGTTTTATCGCTCGTCCAATTTTTTTTTATCCAGAACGTTTTATCATTTTTCAAAGATCACATATTGGTAGGAGTATTCACTCAAGGAAGAAAATTGAAAGGCGGAAAAAACAATGTAGACAAAGAGTTAAAAGAAAGAGTAATAACTTTAGCAGTGTACTGAAACAGACTAAATAGACACACAGTCGCCGATCACTCTTTCAATGTTTCAATGCTCTATCTCAATCTACTTTCTTTCTTTATAGTTAAAGCTATAACTAATTAATTCTACATTTGCTTTAGTTAATTATTTTCCTAATAGGGAGGAATTTAACATTGTATATCTTCGTTTTATTTTCTGGGTATTATCTAATATTATGTCCATTGCCATTTTATTTTCATTAAACACGTTAAAATGCAATAAATTAAATGATTTGGATGTATCTTGTACTTGAATCAAATTATAAAGAAAAGAATGCTATCTGAATCTATTTCGTCAGCCAAGTAATTAGAAGCCATTTAATTGTTATTATAAATAGAAAATATGAATAAAAATGAAATTCTAATTAATTAAGTTTTATGATAAGACAATGTGTTAAATAGAAAATGGAAATCTCCATTCGATTTCTTGATATATTTTTAGGTTAGTAAAATCATTGATAGCATAGAGTGCCTCTTCGTAGAAATACCTTAGTTTGTAGATTAGTTGATCTCTAATTGTAGCTTGGAGACATCTAAAGAAACCTCATTTGTAAAATTTATTGATATCAATTTTTTAAATCATTTTTATCAGTCAAACATTGAAGTACAATAAATGTTAATGTTTTGTCTATGATGCCTACTCCTATAATCTATTTACTTGGACTTAACTCTGTTTGTTTTTATGTAGCGTTAGGGATGTCAATTGGACTCGTCGACTTGGATAGCTCGTGACTCGGTCCGGAAAAAGTCCAAGCTGATTTGGCTTGAGGCTCGGGTCAATCCCCATTTTAAGGTTTGCCCGTGTGGCTCGTCGGCTCGGGCTCGAGCCTTACTTGAAAGAAAAAAAAAAAGAGAAAAAAGGCAGCGCTGGCAACTGGCTGCCTTATTTTAACAAGTAAGGCAGCTGGCTGCTACCTTAAGAAAGGCAGCAATGCCAATGTATAAAAAAAATGTGGAAATTACATAAAACCCTTCCTTTAAAGATCTCATTTCTTAAATCATATGCTAAGTTTATTTATACAAAAATCAGATGATAATATAATTTTTAAATAATAATAATAATAATTTTATAAAAAAAAAATAAATTGTATTACAACTCCACGTCTCCACCACAACCCCATTCCAACTCAAACTCTACCCTAAATTATATTTCATTTCCCCCTATTCGCAATATCCATTTTCTCTGTCTATCGCCGCCGTGAGAAGCACCTGTGAGAAAACCCACCATCGGAAGCCACAGCAGCAGCACCGTGAGAAGTCATAGAAGCAACGTCGACACCGGGGCAACGACAGCGCTGTTGTATTCGGCGTTGCTGCAGCAATTGCAGGTGGCCCTGTGCTCATCCCCTAGTGATTTTGCGATTTTTTTGTGGATGGTGTTTGGTGGTGGATGTGGTGTGGTGTGGTGGTTGCGTGGTGGTGGCGAATTTGAGCTGTCGGATTCGTCTAAATGGGTAGTGGTGGTGGTGGCTATGATAGTTTTTTGCGACGTCTTAGATTTGGTGGTGGTGGCTACGGCTTAGATCTGGTGGTGGTGTCGATGACTCTGTTGTGTTGTTGGTGGCTCTGTTCAGTGGTGGCTGTTTCGCTGACGGCGTTGCTCTGTTGTGGTGGTTAATCTGTTGATCTGTTGGGCTTGATCGATTTTGTCGTAAGGTAGTGGTGGTTGATGTGGCAAAAGTGCTCTGTTGTGGTGGTGAGTCTGTTGGTGTGCTGTGGTGTTGATTGGTTGTCTTGAGGTGGTGGTGACTCTGTTGGCAAAGGCTCTATTGTGGTGGTGGCGGTAATGGTGATAGAGATGGTTGAGGCGGTGGTCGTGGATGGGATAAGATGGGATTGGATGCTTGTGACCATGGTGCGTGGCGGCGATAATTTGGGGCGGTTGTGGTGGTTGTGGACTGTGACTATGAATTCCAACTGTGGTGTTGGTGTGTGGCCGTCACCGTGGTGGCGATGAAAATTGTAACTATGATGTGACTCTCAATTGGATACGTGACCCGAAAATTGTGTCTGTGACTCACAATTGGATACGTGATCTAAAAATTGTGAATCGTAAGTGTTGGTGGTGGTCACAAATTATTTGGTTGACTGTGACCATTAAATTGATTAATCTATGACCAATAAATAATATGTGACCAATGAAAAAGATAAATTGTGATCGAAAATAATGTATGACCTAAAAATTGTTAACCTGTGACCGATAATTTGATAATTTGTGACTGTATAATAAGCTGTGACTTGTAATATCTATAATTTGTGAACAGTAAATAAATCGTGATTTAGAAATTTTTTGATTTGTGACCGATGAACAACTGTAACCTATAAAATTTTTGAATTGTGACCGTAAAATAATTTGTGACCAAAAAAATAATAAGTAACAAATTAAATCGTTAATTTGTGACCAAATTATATAAATATGTGACCTAAATATATTTAATTACTTAATTAATTTATTAATTAAATTATAAATTATTTTTTAATAAAAATCTGGTTTTTGAAATTTGAAACTTGTTTTCTTGTTTTTGAAATGTAGCATAATTAATCTCTCACTTCTAAAATTTTCCCAAAAAAAATCTAACTGGGCCGGCTCGCTAAGGCTCGAGTCGAGCCTTATTTTCTTGGTCGAGCTTTTGCACGGCTCGAGCTCGAAAAAGGATTCGGCTCAGTTCGTTAACATCCCTATGTAGTGTCAAGATTGGGGGTCCAGGATTGAGGCATAACCCGCGATTTATCCCCTTCAAGGTTCTAGGGACAAGGGTCTTGGGAGTCCAGGATTTAGTCTGGTGTAAACTGGGATACCTGGATATCAAAAAAAAAGAGAGAGAGAGAGAGAGAGAAAGGATTGGCATGATACCGTAACAGTGACTTCTTAATAGGAGCTATAATTGGAAATACGTTTAATAGAAATGGACCAGTACTAAATTGAAATTATTAGTAGAACTTGACATAATATCTGTTGCCTCTTGATTGATCCATTCTCTTCCTTTGTGCACAGTGCACTATTCAATGGTTTATGAAAAGATTATGATTATAAACTGTTCTTATTAATTTGTGAGTGAATTCGGTCTTTTGATGTTTGAATTAATTTTTTATTTTTGAGAATGGATTCACGAGTCTAAAGATGATGTCACAAAAAAGAGTGAAAATTTTTACCCTAATGTGTCTGAAAATAGTAACTTAACTAAAGTCTTAATTAAACAATTAGTTTTGATTGAAAAATATAAGCAACACTTAAAATGGAAAAGGACTCCTAATTCATTATTAGATTCAAACTTTGAAGAAAGAATAAATATGAATTTTTTTTTTGCTTGAAAAAGAAACTGAAATAAATTTTGAGCTCTATTTATTATCTCCTGTAATTTCTACCATCACACGGCTTGCTTCAAATTGTTGTGTAAAAAATTTGAACCATTTCTTTAACCAGGAAAATAAAAAACAAAATTAAATTAGAATGTAAGTTTACTTATGAAAGCATGAACTTACATTGAAGAGTTATTCGTTTATTACAGTTTTGTATTTGCACATATAATTTTCTTATTTAAAATAAATTAATGCATAAGCTGGGAGATGGGAAAAAAAAAAAAAACCAACAAAACAGAATCCAACTGCTTTCTTAATATTAAATTCTTATGCCTCAGATGTATTGAATGATTTATTTATGGAATTTCGTGTATGGTGAAATTGCAAGGCTAAATGAATTTTCTTTCTTATTTTTCTAATTTGGAGTCAAGATAGAAGAAGAGGAAATTCTACATTTATATTTGCAGAACTTACGCAATAGTGATTAGGAGAATTGATCTTTATGAAATAAATATCTGTAAAATCTTTGTTTATATATATATATAAAGAGCTGGGGATGATCCAAATACGTTAAGGTAATGTGTTGATCATGCTTAAGGAAATTTGTTGATGTTGTTGTTTGCCAACGTGTGTGGGGGGCCACCCTTAAATTCTTTTACAAATGTCTTTTACACATATATTGTGTGTAGATTTATTTTTTTAATAACCAATTAAAGTACAAGTTATTCGAGTACTTTTGAACTCTATGTTTCAATTGCCCCAAGCTTTTTTATGAAAAAAAAAATTATTATCTTTGAAATCTAATAAGTTATATTTCCATACTATAATTTGCTTATTTTGCTTGGCTAAAAGAAAAGTTTGAATTCCATTTCAACGTCGTGTATGTAAATTAGCTAGAAATTCAATGACGGTAAGAGGTAATATCATTTTATACATATCTATTGCATTTTTTATACAAGTTTCACACCCAAATTTGTTTTCCTTTCGATTTCTTGATATGTTTACGGATTAGTAAAATCATTCAAAGCATACATTTTTTTTAATGGAAATACCTCAATTGATTGGTTGACCTCTAGCCGTGCATGGAGACATGTGTTGAAACCTCATTAGAAAAAGTTATTAATCATAACAATATTTTTATTTATTCATTTCTATCCATGAAGCATTAAAGTACAATAAATGTTAAAGTTGTTATAACACCTTCTCATGCAATCTATTTACTTGACCTGCTCTCGGGGACATAGCTTAGTGGTTCAAAGGATAGGAGTGATGTTATCTCACGTCTTATTGGCAGCGCAGTGTGGGGGTTTGATTTCTGAGATATGGAATTTGA